GTGAATTGGGAGGGATGCTTGAACTTAGAAAACTATGTTACAAGCTTGGATATACATTGCAGAAGTCCACAAATATAAGTATTATATGATAATACAATGTAACAAACTGCTGTTCAAAATTCATCAAAAAATCCTCCACATACAAAATTGACTTGAAATGAGTGGAAGGAATCTTATGTAGTCCAGAAAAAATTGAGGGCTTCTGTAATATATAGCCAAGCTTGCAACATATTTTATAAGTATAAAATAAGTTCTGTTAGTGTTATTCTACTGCTGTTTTTTGGGCAATTGGATGGGAGAGCCATCCACTGAGAATGCAATCTGGCTGGTAAGATTGGCAGAAAATCAAGAAAGGCTATTATTTGATAGGTTTATGCATGCTGGGAAGGGGGAGAGTACAGCTGCTGCTATTATGTGATTTAAAATATTCCAGTTCAGGCATGGAGGGGAAAAAAACACCATTTTGTACTGATTTGAAGGGGAAATGTGTGGCTATCAATACAATTTGAGTCCAGCTTATTACCAGTAGGTGTGACATTAACAGAGTGAAATCAGGGTGGACTACTGTCAATCTAGCTGGATTATTTTGCTGGGATGGATTCAGCCCTAGATGTCTAGTCAAAAGACTCCATGTAATCAAATAAAAGTCCTAATCACCATTATTTATTTATTTATTTATACCCCGCTCTTCAGCCAAAAGGCTATCAGAGTGGCTTACAAATGAGTAATTAGACATTTACCTGCCCTCAAGCTTACAATCTAAAAAGACAAGACACAAAAGGAGAAGGGAATGGTGGTGGGGAAGGGGAACAAGTCCTTCAATCTTCTCTTCCTCTCAAGCCTGGACCAAGGCAGATGGACTGGAGGGAGGGCCCTTCTTCTTACTGTGGCTAGGCCCGATGGAGATGGCCTGCCATTTCTCCCTTGATGATGGTGGATGGATGGAGGGCCCTTCTTTAGTAATTCTTTGTAGAAACAGCATGTGGTGTCATGCTTAGAAAGTCAGGATGGGATATGGAAAGTGCAGATTCAAGTCCTCACTCAGCAATGAAACTAACTGAGAATAAATAAATACATAAGCGACAGCTCATTTTATTAATAGTCTCAAACTATGTGGCGAATAAGAAACAATTTCTAGTTGGGCTCTAATGAGATGGCACACCAGTGTGTTAATAACTTTGTTAGTTTGTTTTCTGAAGCATGCAAAAACACTGTGTATGTTCCTCCCCAATAACTCCAGTTAAGGGTATTTAAACCTATGGCTACATAACAGATATATATTGAAGTAAGTACAAAATATAAATAAATACAAAATAAAATAAATATAAAAATATTAAAGAACTGCCCATCCTCCTCCATATCTCTGTTCCTTGAAACCTGGCTGTGCTATAGGCAATTTGAATAGAATTTTGGACCCCTGTATAATTCCTTTTCTAGGAAATTTTTTTTTTTGGAAAATATAAATTAGCTGAGATGGCCAATTTGTAGTGTTTTAAAGGCAATTCTAGCAAAGTAGTGCAGGTCAGGGAGCCACGGCTCATTTGAATGTATGAATATTCTTATCTGATTAAGGTAATTGGAATAAATGGGAGAGATACCAGGCCAAGGGGATTGCAAAAGAATGTATGCACTTTCTATGATGAAGTGATAATTGTTAAGATGCTGCAAAATTTGCCAAATGTACAAGGTTACTGTTGGCTATACTGGCTGCAGGATGGGAAGAGATGCAGTCCAAAAAAGTAACTTTGCCAAAAACTTGTTTCAGAGACTTACAGTTGGGGGGCATTTCTTCATCTTGAACCAATTACTCAAGTATTAGAGTCCTTGTTTCCCTTCCCTGTCCATTAGAGCTCATGGCATCTTCTACCTCATGGTAAAGAACAGATGAAAGGAAGCAGAATTTCATTGGGAGGATGGCACAAGGAAAAGGCTATTGGTCCTGATTCTCCCCGCAGTTGTATATACAGTTTTTAAAAACAATCCTGTGGAACCTTTATTAAACTTCAGAATTAGGGTTTGCCAGAAAAGGATGGGCTGCCCTCCCACTCCACCAAGCCTCTTGCTGAGACAAGAGAAC